CTCCGTTGAAATGATGTTGTGCTGCGTTGTCATCTATCGTGCTACTGATTTCTTCAAAGTGTTTCTTCAAGTGCCGATAGAATGAAGATTTAACGCTATACTTCCTTCTACAATTTCCGATGTTGCATTCGTAGACGTCCAGATTTCCGTGATATTTGTTTAAATGGTCGTGTAAACGATTGACCGATTGCGATGTCCAGCTACATCGCGGTGCTACACATCGAATCATTGTTGTCGTTGTTGTTGAAGACTATTCCGCAGTGAAGTGCACAGTGCCACAACGTGAGTTTGTTCACGAGAAACCTCAAAGTCGAATAACAGGTTTGCCAACAAGCTCCAAACTGACGATGATTGACGTGGGAAAGCAATGCTATATGATTTGTAAATTTTCAAACACACATCAAGTGCTTTTATGAAGCTTGGTAACTTGTATGAAACCACGTTGTTTCATACAGAAAATGATAAAGGGCTTTTTGGGTCCTCCCCATGAATCACTATGAATGGGGCTAGCTCTATACTTCTCGATTGTAATGATTGGAAAATTTTGGCAAGCTTATAGTTTGGAGCTCTGCCAAATCTTTCACTAAAACTGCGACGCTCTCCCGTGACTCAATAATTAACGGCTTCCAGCGTTGTTTTTTCGGCAACATGAGAATAGGACTTGGCAAAATGTGATTCAAAAGCCAGGTGGTTATTAGTCCTCGTCCATCTGTAAAAAAAACATTATTGTATTGAATCCCAGATTGGATCAATCTACCTACACTACCCGCCATAAGTATGGAATCGATATAAAAAGTATTGCAAAACACAAACTGAATATTGCAGCATCTTGAAAAGTTTAAAAACCTGAACAGAGTAGGGTGCAGGGTAATGCCAAACTTCTTGAGGGTGCTGCAATATTCAATTTGAGTTGTAATACTTATTGAAGCGACTCCATACTTATGGCGGGTAGTGTAAATTCTGCTGATGGGCATAGTTCAAGAGGAACATGTGAAAAGGCCATCTTAGCTTTTTGTAAAGCTCGCCAACCGAAGACCACCCACGCAAACCAACATCCGGAAGGGTAAAGTTTCCCCTACCCCTAAAAAAAGGTTTACAAAACGCTGAGATGACCTTGGGGTCAATTATGCGTTCAACTGCATTATAGGTTATGTAGTATTAAAATTTCCAGTTACACTTTAACTTACCATTTGAAATGTCGGCTGTTTTTAGTAAATGTAGTAAACTCTTTCCGACGGTATCCGTTATCTCCAGTTCCAAAATTGGATAAACCTCGCTGACAAATAGTTCCCAACGATCGAAAAGGAGTTTTTCCTTTTCCGGGAACCGTTGTTGAAAATCGATTTGAATCTATTGATAGGCCTGGTGGTGTCTTAAAACAGGATACTCAGCCAGAAGGGAAGCAGCGTTTCGAGTTTCGTTCTGAGACAATTGATCATTTTGTCAAGCTTCTGCATTCATGTTCCGTCAGATGTCACTGCTGTTGTTTGCGGTGACATCTATCGGAAACTACACACAATCTGTTTTCCTGTAATTGTTTACAGAGGACACTGCAGTGCAAAACATATCTGGTACCTCTATATATGCATTTAGATTATTATTCGAAGTCCCTCCTTTTTTACACATTCTGCGCACAAAATAGTTCACCCCTCACAGAATTTCCCGCCGATTTTTATGTATGGGGCGGGGCATAAATTATCTTTTGCGCAGAATATGTAAAAAAGGAGGGACTTCAAATGTTTATGCAAATGCATATATACAAGTATCAGACATGTTTTGTACTGTCAGGTACTCTATTTTATAATCTGTGAAAGGGAAATCACAAATCGAGTGTCAACAAAATACATGGCATATTGAGAGATTGAGCTAGTGAGAGAGAATTTCTCTCTCAAATTTGAATTTTTTTGGCTCTCTGGTAGTAAAGCAGGTAAAATTGTATGGGGATAAATCATTTTTAATTAATTGTAGCTTGTTGTCCGGGAAAAAACTGAACGACAAAGTCCCTGATTAATTTCTTTAGGTTGTCGTTCACTTTTTTTGACCTGAATATGCACCGAAAGCGAAATATTCTCACTTCTTTCAATTTCTATATGGGGATTTTTTATCACTTCCTACCAGCGGAACAGCGCCATCTCTGTGGAAAATTGTCGTACAAAATGTTTAATTCAAATATTCTTTGTGTTGTTGTTTGCTTCCACTTACTTCGCACTTCGTCCCAGTCATCCTGATTGTGGGTAATCCATTTTTTGGTTCGTTGATATTCTGTTACTGAGAGAAAACTTTCTATTATTGAAAAACATAGTTGACATTATAAAACATACAGTCATTCTGGGTAATGTCGTTCGTAGAGCCAAGATTTTCTGATACTTTAACGATAGATATCTTGTGTGCAGTACTCTCCGGTTCTCTCGCTTCTCGGTAGTTGATGTTGTGGTCACGTAACGTTCCTTTGGCTTGTCGTCTTAATTTTAATTTCCGACCAGAACTATCCGTCGTCCATGTACGTTGATACCAACTTTCCTGTTAAAAAAGTAATGAAATACAATGATTAGTGTAAATTGTTATTTGTAGGATTACTGAGGTTAAGTTCAGGGTAATAAGTAAGCTCATAAGTATGGTTTGAAGGCCCTTTTCTCGTCAACCGAAGGTCACCCACGGAAACCAACATCCGGAAGGTTAAAGTTTCCCCTACCCGATAATGTTGTTGGTTTGCGTGGGTGACCTTCGGTTCACGAGAAAAAGGCCTACAAATGTTTGTTTACAAGAAGCTGATATGACGTTTTCATATGTTCCTCTTGAAATAATGAACTGAAAATTAGTTTAACTGGTGATTAAAAAGTGTCATTTGAAAAACATACCTGTGGTTCACTCGGAAATAGTAAACGCAGCTCAACTGCTCTACTTTGAAATTCGTCGGGAGGGTCGGGAGTCAATTTGGAAAAACGGTCCTTAAACTCGTCGACCACGATTTGCGTTATGATGCGCTTGTCAGATCTTGTAAGATGTTTATGTGTATCATATTTTTTCAGGATTGCTTGGCCTCTTGCGGATGTTTGTATCAAATAAGTTACTGTACAGTTAGCTCTCGTTACATCTGACTGCTGAAGCGCAAGCGACGCATGTGAAAAAATAGAAGATGTTGATTCAGCTAACGGTGGAAGATTCTGTTTGTTTAGAAAGTGAAATCAGATTTGGGCGTACTTGAAGATTAAACATCACTTACCAGGCTTTTTCTCCATGAATTCAACGCATGAATGCAGTTTGTCCTTTCCGCTAAAAATGGCTGCTGAATAAGATCCTCCACTTCCTTCCGCTCAATGATTTTCTGGATATCGTGTATCGATTCGCTGAAATAATTACAATTATTTAAATGGCAAAAATGTATTAAATTATAATTTTCTTACCTATGAAAGCGCCGATTACTGCTTCGCTCAAACCAAATGATTTCAATAACTTCAAAAATTCAAAATCTTCTGCACCCAGCGTTTCAACCTCCAGCTCTTCAAGCACATCTTCCTCTGACGAATCCATTTTTTTTTTTCTGTTTGCGTGATGTAATAAAATGGCGGTCAACACATAGACAAAAAATCAGATCATTTCCAAAAGATTTGTTTTAATCAAAAAGCAAGGTCTTTGTTTCTAATAACAACTTTGTAGAATGAACTCTGCTATACTGCCTATAATCGCATATAAGTCCCATATGGAAAAAGTAGGCATTGAGAAAATGACAGTCGAAGTTACGAAGTGCAATTCTCATGTAAATATTTGAAAAATCTTAGTAAATTTATTGATACTTTTTCAAGTTAAAATCTGTCACAATGAAGCAAGATGGGACTGATATGGGACAAACTGACTTGATGTTGTTTTCATATTTTTCATGATCAAAGTCCATAGTTTTATCACATAATATGAATCTTCTTCTTCTTCTTCGCATTTTAAGCTTATTGCATATCGCATATTAGCTGATTGCGTGCTCTCAACTTACTGTTCTATATGCACTTCCACAGTTATTAATTGAGAGCTTTCGATGCCTGTACCATTTTTGCATTGGAATAATTGTGTGGCAAGTCCAATCATACTTCTATGCCCAGGGAAGTCGAGAAATTTTCCAACCCGAAAAATTCCTAGGCCGGACCGGGAATTGAACCCAGCCACCTCCAGCATGGTCTTGCTTTGTAGCTGCGCCTTTACCGACTGAGCTAAGGGAGGCCCCACATAATATGAATGTAGATGCCAATTGATAGTGGATAGCGTTGTTATCTCAAAATTGACGAAAATCCATATGGGACTGATATGCTATAATAGGCAGTATACATTAGAAACAAAGATTTTTTTTCTTTGATTCAACAAAACAGCATGAGTTTGAATTAAAAATGCAATGTATTTGATTCTAATACGCCTTGTTTCTCTGCGTGTTCAATTTGTTTTTCCAACTCAGTGACATTCAGGTTCGTTATCTTCAAAATTTTTCCAGATTATAAAATTTCTATTTTTTACCTTGATTATGATCTTGAAATAGTCATAGACTCTCACAAATTTTCTGAGGCTTCGAAAAAAATCAAGATTTTAGAAAAAAAAATGTCCAAGATTATAAAATGTTTGCTATTTTTCAGAAGCATTAAACTTTTTCTAGGACTGTGAACATACATTCTAGGGGAAATGGATGTAATCTCGGCCTAAATGCCCCTAATTTGGGCCCATACATAAATTCAGCAATCGACTAAATTTTCAATAGCGTCCAAAAAATCCATCAGTACCGTCCCAGTAACGCGTTCATCTAGATAAAATTGATAAATAGCAGATTTTTAGCGATGGGCCCAATCTTAGATCCATAGGCCAACATTAGAGCCATTTCCCCTATATATTCAAATATCATTCAAGGCCGCACTTCGTCTTCCCCTAAACATCAAATAACCAGCCCAAAACCCGTGTATTTCAATTTGATCAAAAACTTTTCTTAGGTTTAATTTCATCTATGCCTTTTCAACTACCTATTTCAGAATTATCGACAGCAACTACAAGCGCAATGTTCAAAACTTGTACGATGACCTCCAGCGACAGATCAAGCAGCTCAACGAATCGATGCGCAAATCGCAAGCCATCGTGACCGAAATGGAAACAACGCGTCGCTCTCAGAAGCGCGAGCTGGACCGCGTGGAGCGTGAACTGACCGAGAATAAAGAGAAAATCTACTCCGTCTGTCAGGGTAACCCGTATGAAGAGGTTCTCGCCAAACTAAAGGAAAAAATCACTAAAAACAATCTGGAACACGGAGAGCACCGGTCGGCCGAAGTTCTCTACAAAAAGTACCTCTCCCGTATCGAAGACGACAAATGCTGCCCTGTGTGCCACAAGGAGATGGGTGGCTCTGATGTGCAGGACATTGGTTCGGAACTGTCGGATGAAATCCGCCGGCTACCGGAGAGAATTGAAGCTCTCGAGCGGATGTTGAAATCCGATCAGAATAAGTATGATCAGTTGTTGGCTCTTCAACCGTATTCAGAGCGTATTGATAAACAAACGGTGGAAGTACCGAAGCTTAAAGAGCAGCTGGAGGTGATTGAGCGTAAACTATCCCAAGCATCCTCGGACTTGGAGGAAAGCCAAATGTCGATCCTTGAACCCAATTCGAACGTTCAGCTGATCAATTCTATGCTGGGTGACATGAGCATTCTGGACGAATCAGCCAGAGATCTTGAACGAATGACGAAGGGGATTGAGACCTTGAAAGCCGAACTGGCCGAAAAGACACCAGAGGGTACGTCCGCTTCACTCGAGGATATGAAATTGGAACGAGAAGCGGTCCGTGGCGAATTGCGAAGCGAACGCATTTCGATCGATGCCTTGCAAAATAAAATCGACGAGGAAACTGAACGATTGAACAACCTTCATCAACGGTATAATCAAATGAAAGAGAAAAAGATCGCGCTGCAGGAATCTGTTCAGTCGTTGGATCAGAAGAAAGCCAAAGAGGTGGAATTGGGGGAAAAGATTACCACTTGCCAGCGGGAAATGGATGAGACGGAACATAAACTCGGACCAGTGAAGCAGAGCTTGTTGAAGGAAGAGGATGCTAAAGTCAAGATTAAGAACGAGAATCGAGTGAAGTTAAACAAGGCGCAGATTGAGTTGGAGGAGATTAAACGAATGGAAGCGGAGATCGGCCGACTGGGAAAGGAGTTGCAAACTTTGTCAAGGCTAAATTTGGCAGATGAGATTCAGAAAATGAAGCGCAAGTTGCAAGAAACTAGCGAGGAAATGAAGCAGGTAGGTGGAAAATGTATGTTGTAATCTTACTTGTTATTTAAACTGTTGTAAATCTTACAGGTTACAGCTGGTATTGAGGAAAAATCTGCACTGATCGATTTACTTAAGAAAGACATTATGAATCAGGACATGATGGAGCGTGACTATCTGGACAACCGTGATTTGATGAAACTTCAGACTGAAACTTCCACTCTCAAAGAAAACTTTGATGCTCTAATGCAGAGCATTGGTGACATGGATGCGCCGAATGTGGTACAGGAACGGAACAAACTACTCGAGCAACGGGACACGATTCAGGCCAAAAAGAGTCAAACAACCGGACAGATCGCCGAATTGGAAAATCAGGGCAAAGCGCTGAAAAAAGAGCTAGATCGGTCGGAATTCAAGAACGCAGTTAAAAATTATCTCAAGACATACAGTGAATCAGTGGTGCTGAAGAAAATTATAAGCGATATACTGAAGTACCGCAACGCTCTCGAATGGGCACTCATGAAGTACCACTCAGAAAAGATGGAGCAAATCAATCGATCTATCTACTCCCTCTGGAGAGATATTTACCGTGGAAATGATATAGATTACATTCGTATCAAGACTGAGGACGAATCAAAGCCGGACAGAGTGACGGACAAACGTAGGCAGTACCATTATCGCGTAGTTCAAGCGAAGAATGATGTAGAGATTGATATGCGAGGTCGGTGCAGTGCCGGCCAAAAGGTGCTGGCCTCATTGATCATCCGGATGGCATTAGCTGAGACGTTCAGCAACAACTGCGGGGTGATGGCATTGGATGAGCCGACGACTAATTTGGACAGAGAGAACATTGCTTCGCTGTGTGAAAGCTTGCGCCGAATTGTAACGGAACGGGAACATGGGAACTTTCTGCTGGTAATCATTACCCACGATGAGGACTTTGTGACCAAATTGGAAAAGTTTGATACGTAAGTTTACAGAACACAGGTACGGTGCCTGGCGGATTTGATAGCTTTTGTGATTCTTTATTTGCCTTTGGATGGAATATACACATCGCGATAACTTTTTCAAAGGGACATATCTTCTTGTAAACAAATGTTCAAACGTCAATTAGTCGAACTAACACCACCACCAGAAAGGGTAATGTCATTATTTTCCCAACAAGATGGTGTTGTTAGTTTGCGTGAGATATTAGTATTTGATAAAATACGTTCTTTTGAAAAAGACATATTGAGTTCGTCAGTCATGTTACCATATTGGTTGTGATTCTGTGTTGTAATGGGTAATAATAATTATTTGTATTTCTTGCAGTTATTATCGCGTATCACGAGACCATGACGGAAAATCGGTCATCAAAGAGGAGCAACTATAGATCCTACGTTTTCCTCCTCTTTATGATTGATAGTGTTTAAGTTTTTCATGTTACCACTACGTATTTCACATGTTACCGTTGATTTCATTCCAATAAAACTTGCTATTGTTTAAACAGAGGTTTTTACTGAAACATATGTTATCTGCCCAAAACAGTTTGCCCTATCGGCATCATTATCGTTTTCATCATATACATGGTACAAATAGACCTGTGCGCCGGTCCTTTCACCGACGGCGGCGGCGGAGTAGAACTCATTTTTGCTTCGGTGGCGGCGGCGTGCATTGGCGTATCACTATGATGGGTGACATTTCCGGGAAATTTACCGAATACAACGTGCACCGAAAATAGTTTTCATGTAGCTTCCATTTTAAACGCACATGATTTTCATCCATAATCAAAATATAATGGAATTCATCTGAATTTGACATAACATTTATGCGATCACATTAATTTTATATGATTTTTCATATGAATTTCATCGGCTTTATAATATTCATGTGATTTTGTGGTGGGATTTGCAGCTATGTGATCACAGGAAAGCTATGTGAAATTCACATGGATTTCATCCATTAGATATGTGATAATTTTTTTAAGTGTATGACTCGTCTAATTTTGCATAACATTTGCAATGTAAAATTAGACGAACTATACGTTGCATTCAGGTTACTCGTATACAAAATATATATTCGTTATGGTTGATCATGAATACTTGTAGTTCTAGTTCCTCAATGTGTGCTTAAGAGCCGGATAAATTCAGACAGTAAGCTATCAAATAAAAATTTAGAATTATGATCCTGCTTGTATGGACGAATTTTTGATTGTTTGAAGTAGCAGATTATGATTAAATATTGAACTCAGGGTCACATGGATCAAAATTTCTAATTTTGTGAAAGCACAACTCTGAATTCGTCGATTATGCTGATGGAAAGGAAGTGGGGGGCAATCCAAAGTAACCAACAGACCTGCTTGATAATAATCCGACTAATAATGTGCCGAAGTCCTGTATTTGTCGTATGTTAGCTCTATATAGCAAAATCAATCCTATTTAGTGGGCTTATTGGTTACCAGATGGGATGTGCAATACGTGCTTGTGAACGATTTCCCACGATTTCGGTGAAATCCTCACAGGAACTGACGCACGCTAGTGGCGATGGGTCCCCTCTGAAATGAACACTGCCGACCTCGCTACCAAGTGGAAGAATGGCCCCAACTTCCTACCAACTAATCCATGGTTTTGTGGTCCGGCGTTTCTTCACCAACCTGAGGAATGCTGGCCTCAACCACCCCAGGCCAGTCCAACTAAAGAAGAACTTCGATCAAGTCACACTCATTACACAGCTCCTCAGTTAATTGACGTATCCAGATTCAGCCGGTGGACGACGCTACAGCGAACAATGGCTTTCGTGTTCCGATTCATCAACAACCTGCGCCGTAAAAGATGTGGATACAAGCTGGAACTGGGCGTCTTCGATCAGCATGAATTAAAACGTTCAGAAGAAGCACTATGGAAGGTAGCCCAAGCTGAAGCCTTCTCAGAAGAAATCACCATTATTTCTGGGTCGCAAGGGTCTCCCGAAGCGCAACACGACCGTGTTTCCAAGTCAAGTTCGATCTACAAGAACTGGCCATATCTTCACGAGCGTGGGATACTTCGGATGCGTGGACGAATCGGTGTCGCATCCTTTGCACCGACCGAAGCTAAGTACCCCGCCATCCTTCCCAGGCAACTCCTAATTACGTTTCTTCTTACAGACTGGTACCACCGCCGTTTCCACCACGCCAACCGAGAGACCGTAACCAACGAAATGCGTCAACGTTTCGAAATCGCCAAGCTTCGTGCACTGATCGCGAAGGTGTCGAAGACCTGCATGATTTGTCGACTGAGAAAAGCCATGCCCAGTCCTCCCGCAATGTCACCGCTTCCGAAAGCCAGGCTACAACCGTTCGTCCGACCATTTACCTACGTCGGATTGGATTACTTCGGACCTGTATTGGTGAAAGTAGGTAGAAGTCAGGTGAAAAGATGGGTAGCCCTATTTATCTGCCTCACTATTCGTGCCGTGCACTTGGAGGACGTGCACTGTTTATCGACGGAATCGTGCATCATGGCAGTGCGCCGTTTCATCGCACGTCGTGGTTCCCCTGCTGAGTTCTACTCGGACAACGGAACATGTTTTCAAGGCGCTAGCAGAGAGCTAAAAAGGGAAGAAGTACATGCAAGGAACAACGCTCTAGCTACTACGTTCACGAATGCGAATACTCAATGGAGATTCATTCCACCAGCGGCTCCACATATGGGTGGAGCGTGGGAGCTTCTAGTTCGATCGGTGAAAGTGGCAATGGGAGCCGTAGCTGACGCTCCTCGCAGACCAAGTGATGAAGTCCTGGAAACGATTCTCGTAGAAACCGAAGCGATGATCAACACGCGACCGCTCACCTACATCCCACTCGAATCGGCAGACCAAGAAGCTCTAACGCCTAACCACTTTCTGCTGGGATCTTCCAATGGTGACAAGATCCGGCCGGACGAACCTATTAATAGCCCGGCGGTCCTGCGTAGCAGTTGGAAGCTAGCACAGGCCATCACCAACGAGTTCTGGTCAAGATGGGTGAAGGAGTATCTGCCAGTGATAACACGAAGAGGAAAATGGTTCGAAGAAGTTCGGGACATAGCAGTCGGTGATCTGGTGTTGGTAGTGAGTGGAACGGTGAGGGACCAGTGGACTCGAGGACGAGTGGAAGAAGTCATTCCTGGACGGGATGGACGAGTCCGTCAGGCCTTAGTCCGGACAGCATCTGGAGTACTGCGACGACCAGCAGTGAAACTAGCGGTTCTCGACGTTTCGGAGAGTAGTAAGCCTGATCAAGGAGATCCAGTGCATCAGGAGCATCACCAGGGTTTACGGGTGGAGGAATGTCACGACGAGACCCCCCGTCGCAATTCAACTGTGGTCGGAGGGAAAGAGAGGTAGAAAACGACATTGGAGTTCAGAACAATGGTCAATGATAAACAATGATACGTGAATTAGCTTAATCTAGTAATTACAGTTATATCTAACGGTGAAAATTATACAAATAAGCTTAAAAGTAGATTACGCAAATAAAAGTTACGCCAGCTATAAGTAGGTTAAGTGATTATCCTGGTTATTTGTAATATATTCGTGCGAGATCATGCTATTTGTTCGCACATAAAGGTAACACATGCATTACGTAAAATGATGAGGATGAATTCATAATCTAATACTAACTATTTCTAAAGATAGGATAAATTCTACATACCTTAAACCTACACACTTAGATTTTTTCGCCGAGACAAACTTGCCAAGATTCAGCTAACAAACGGGAATTTTGCTGAGATCTCAGCTAACAAACATATATTTTGCTGAATTTCCAGCAAAATAAAATGCCGAGCTGCTCGGTGGTGCCCATCTCGGCAAAAAAATCTAAGTGTGTACTTGGCGAAATTAGAAGTTGCTTAAACATATTAGTAAACGGTAAATTAAAGCGTAAGTACGTTGAAATTATTGAATTGTACACCTAACATATAGGACCATTATTTACTACAGTGCTTTCCACAACTTATCGCCCATTGATTCGTGATAAGATCCCAATGTTCAAAGGTTCACCAACAATTGTTAGTTTAATGTAAGAAAGTATCCCAGCTACATACTAATAAAAGTTTATTCTAGCTTAAAGCTTACCACCACGAAAGCCTGGTTTGCTATTAAAGATTGTGGAAAATCTATCCCCGCAACACCAGCAGACCATTCCGTCTCGCACGCTGAGCCGATCAAGTCGCATCGGTCTCGTTGTACGACACTATCAGTTAGTTTTGAGTTTTTCCCCACGCGAGGGTTTTTTCTCGCCAAAGTTAATTGGCATAGTGTTTAGACGACTAGTGCGCGAGTGAGGAAGCCGTTAATGATATGCCGAGTGCTTTCATTACGGTCCAGCTTTAACCCAGCATCATCGCAACATCATCAACAAAATCATCACCACTATCGGTACATCACCCCATCGATAGCAACAACGAAAGAGCGTCATATTGCCTACCGAGTCGACCGAGGCACACCAGCATCGAGGTTATTGACTCTGCAGCCGTTGGATCAAACAATTATATCTCTCCAGTCTGCCGCCGCCTCAGTGCGTTAGGTATAAATCGTGTCGTTTGTATTGTTCTCGCCAGTATAGCATCTTCCTTGTTTCCCTGGTCCAATATTAGATTGGTGTTTAATTAGGGTGATCCAAAAATCCAATTTTTTTTTTCGCTTGATTTTTTTTTCTTGATTTTTTTTTTTTATTATTATTTTTGTATTACTTAGGGTGATCCAAAACTCTGTAAATAGTATATAATCATTATATTTTTTTTTTAATTTTTTTTTTTTTTTTTTTTTTTTGTTTTTTTTTTTCTTTGCATGTATTACTCATTAGTAGAGTGAAACTATATATATATATAATTTTTTTTTTTGATATTATTTGAAATTACTGCAATTATTTGTAAATTTTTTTACAAAAAACACCATTGCGGCGATATTTAACCGCAATGGATGAAAATGATAAAGGCGGGGGATGGTCGCTTTCCATCTCAGACGACGAAACTCTTAATTCCACCTCACACGAAAGTCTCGAGGAAGTTGTGGAAATGGAAACCCTTGACGTTCCAGTTGACTCGCTCTCCAGCAAAAATACTGGAGCATATCCCAAGAAAAGGTATCGCCCACAACCCTCTCCCCTGCCATCTCCTCCTCGTCCACCTGCACCCCCCACACCATTGCCCCCAAAAACCTCTGCGCTCCCCCGCCTAAAGGCTTACCCAGAAGCCTCGAAAGGCCCATGGGTTGTTTTTTTCCGGCCCAAACAAAAACCTTTGAACATTCCGAGGATCTCTAAGGATCTAACAACACATTTTTCGGCCGTTACCGATATTTTCAAGGTAACACCAATAAAACTGCGCGTTACCGTTGATGACCGGAAGCAGGCTAACCAAATTGTTGCGTGCGAGCTTTTTTCATTGGAATACCGAGTCTACATACCCAGTAGTGAGGTAGAAATTGAAGGAGTGGTCACCGAAGCGAGTTTGACTAGTGATGATTTCTTGGGTCCCGATTCCTTCGGAATCTTTAAAAACCGTGCTCTGCCGAAGGTGAAGATATTGGACTGCCTTCAAATGCAGTCAGTATCCGTAGTAGGCTCCAAAAAAACTTATTCCTTGTCAAACTCGTTTCGTGTGACGTTTTCGGGTTCAGCGTTACCTCACTACGTCGCTATTGGCAAGGTTCGGCTGCCTGTACGCCTGTTTGTACCTCGGGTAATGAACTGCTCGAAATGTAAACAACTTGGTCATACATCGGACTACTGCTCGAACAAACCACGCTGCGATCAGTGTGGCGAGCAACATCAAGAGGGCCCTTGCGGTGCTCCACCAAAATGCGTGTACTGCAAGGAGACCCTGCATACCCTGACTAACTGCCCGAGGTATAAACAGCAGGGAGAAAAACTTAAGCGGTCTCTGCAAGCTCGCTCCAAGAGAACACTAGCAGAACTCTTGAAGAATACCGCTTCATCTTCTCAGACCACACCAAAAAACAGTAACACGTTCTCCATTTTGCCAGTTGATGATCTAGACTCTGACTCAGAGGGCGGTGAGGGTAGTCCGTTTGTCTTTAAAGGCAATACGAGAAAACGAGCAAAACAACACACCACCGAAAAGCCTCGTAAGGCCACTCGTACGGACCACCCTTCCACCTTGGAAAATTCAAGAGGTAACGGAAATACACCGAAACCCATTCCACCGGGTTTTAAACCTTGTAATTATGACAAGAACTTTCCGTCACTTCCAGGATCATCTAAAACCCCAGATGTCCCAGTTTTTCGGCCAGAAAATCAGCTGAATAATCAGCAAGAACATGCCCCCATGTTCACGTTTTCTGGTATTGTGGATAGCTTCTTCAGTATATTCAATATCTCTGACTCAACGAGGAGCATTATTAATTTAGTGCTGCCAATGGTGAAAACTCTTTTGAAGCAACTAGCTTCTAGGTGGTCCTTCCTTGCATCGATCATATCTTTCGATGGATAATTCTCCGAATGAGGTCGGGGATATGATCTCTGTTCTTCAGTGGAACTGTAGAAGTCTTATGCCAAAACTTGACACATTTAAATTTTTAGTTAACAACTCACTTTCTGATGCATTTGCCCTTTGTGAAACATGGCTCTCTTCAGACAACGATCTTGCTTTCCACGATTTCAACATTATTCGCCTTGACCGCGCAGATTCGTATGGAGGGGTGCTTCTGGGGATCAACAAGCTCCATTCCTTCTACAGAATCGATCTGCCTTCGGTGACAGGCATTGAAGTTGTTGCATGTCAGGTTAATATTCGAGGTAAATGCCTCAGTATTGCCTCAGTATATCTTCCACCGCAAACTGCGATTTCTCGTCAAAGTTTCTCGGATATCTGCACGGCTATGCCGGAGCCACGGTTGATCTTGGGAGATTTTAACTCTCACGGTACAGGCTGGGGGGAACTGTACGACGACAACCGCTCAACCTTGATATACGACATGTGCGACTTCTTCAAAATGACAATTCTGAACACCGGGGAAGCAACACGAGTAGCCAAACCTCCAGCAAAAATAAGCAGATTAGACCTCTCACTTTGTTCGAGTTCACTATCGTTGGATTGCTCGTGGAAAGTAATTCAAGATCCCTACGGTAGTGACCATTTGCCAATCAAAATTTCTATTACCAATGGTTCATCTTCTACTCGTTCGGTCGACATCGCGTACGATCTTACAAAAAACATTGACTGGCGAAAATTCGCGACCGCGGTTCTTGATGCCAGCCAATCGGTTGACGTACTTCCTCCGCTGGACGAGTACTCCTTTCTCGCGCGTCTTATCATCGATTCTGCGCTGCGAGCACAGACGAAACGTGTTCCGGGTATTTCCGTCCGCAAGCGACCTCCCACCCCGTGGTGGGATAAGGATTGCACCGACGCGAACAGCGAGAAGTCCGCCGCGTTTAAACGGTTCCGCAAACACGGCAAGGTCGGGGATTTCGAGCGGTACACCGACCTCGAGAAAACTTTTAAGGACTTAATTAAAGCAAAAAAACGCGGTTACTGGCGTCGGTTCGTCGATGGTTTGTCGCGAGAGACTTCCATGAGAACACTCTGGAATGTCGGCAGGAGAATGCGAAACGCGTCATCACCGATTAACGAAGACAAGGAGTACTCGGACAGTTGGATATTCAGCTTCGCACGGAAAGTTTGCCCGGATTCGGTGTCGGTTCAAACCAACGTTCGTGATCGTCCGTCGGGTAATAACGAAATAGATTCCCCGTTTTCGATGGTGGAATTCTCACTTGCTCTCCTTTCATGTAACAATTCAGCTCCAGGAATGGATAGAATCAAGTTCAACTTGCTTAAAAATCTCCCAGATGTCGCGAAGAGACGCTTGTTGAACTTATTCAATCAATTTCTGGAGCACAACATTGTTCCGGATGACTGGAGGCAAGTAAGAGTTATCGCCATTCGAAAACCCGGTAAACCCGCGTCGGATTATAACTCGTACCGTCCCATCGCGATGCTGTCCTGTATACGGAAATTGTTGGAGAAAATGATTCTTTTTCGTCTAGACAAATGGGTCGAGTTGAATGGTTTACTTTCAGATACGCAATTTGGATTTCGGAGAGGCAAAGGAACGAGCGACTGTCTTGCGTTGCTTTCAACTGAAATTCAACTGGCCTATGCGCAAAAACAGCAAATGGGTTCAGTTTTCTTGGACATTAAGGGGGCTTTTGATTCTGTTTGTATCGATGTCCTTTCGGATAAACTCCACGATAGTGGGCTTTCACCAATTATGAACAACTATTTGAGCAACTTGTTGTCTGAGAAATATATGAGCTTTTCTCATGGAAACTCGACAACTTCACGAATTAGTTACATGGGTCTCCCCCAGGGTTCATGTTT